GGAGATGTGCGGGAGGCAGCTGATCGATGTTTCTCTCTCATTGATGTTTCTAACTCTCTATCTCTCTCCCTTCCTCTCTGTAAAAAATCAATAAAAAAATATATTTTAAAAAAACTGCATTTATTTAGATTAAATTCTTATTCATATCTTCTTCCTGAAGGTTCACTTACAGAGTGCTACGATGAACTGGGAAACAGATACCAGCTTCCAGTCTATTGCCTGGCACCACCTATCAACATGATAGAGGAAAAGAGCGACATAGAGACTCTAGATATTCCTGAGCCACCTCCTAATTCTGGATATGAATGTCAGCTCCGTTTGCGCCTTTCCACTGGCAAAGACCTCAAACTTGTAGTCCGCAGCACAGACACAGTGTACCACATGAAGAGGCGGCTCCACTCAGCAGAGGGAGTGGAACCGAGCAGTCAGCGGTGGTTCTTTTCTGGCAGACCTCTCACCGACAAAATGAAGTTAGAAGAGCTGAAGATCCCAAAGGACTACGTTGTACAGGTTATAATGAGCCAACCTTTGCAAAACCCAACACCAGTTGAGAACTGATCTGGTCCTATTGGCTGGTTCCCAGATCCCTCCCACTCCTTTGTATTGTTGTTTCCTACTCTATGGCGTGAAATTTATTTTCACTGCTCTGAATTCCGTATAATGGATTTAGTTCTGAGGAATTACCAGTGAAAAATTCCATCTGTGATGGAGACCAACAAAAATAATTAATAAAACACAAAGAGCTAGCATTTGAGACTCATGTAATTACAATTTCTAATTTGAGGGGCAGTTAAGAAATAGATAACCATTTATTTTCAAACACTCAGCAACTATGTAATGGTTATATTTAAATGATTTGGACTGTACATAGAACATCGCATCAATGAACAGCACCAAGCACCTTGTGAATACAGAGTTTTTATAAAAATAAAATATAACTTCCAAAAATCATCAATAACAATGATAAAACTTGAGCTTTTTAGCATGGAAACTGGAAAGAGCAGTATTTGAGGTTTGCTTCTATTCTGGTCTTAATTCTTTGCTTAATTAATATTTAGTCATTAAGGATTAGAGATTGGCAAATTTTGTCTCAGTATTGCTTTCCTCATTCCCATATGTTGAGCTTTTTATTTACAGTCACACTAAATTTTGATGCCTTCCAGCACATTGGTGGCAGGCGTCCTCTGGAACACTAGGCAATAATTTAGTCAGTGCAATCAGATCTCTGATTTTCAACTGATACTCAGTTGAAAAGTCTCTTTTCTCTTGCTACATAGGTATTTTGAAAAGTGTGTATAACAAACTGGTTTTCATATCCAGGCTTAGAAGGTTACTACTATTTAATACCTTAAATTGTTCTCTCCACTCTGCTTGGAACTTTTCAGAACTGTGCTCCCAAATGCATGGATACTGGGCCAGGGAATGCAGGGAATCAAGTACAGCTATTTCCACTGTACGATAATAAAGTCATTCTCTTTCTCCTCCAATTTGCAGGAAGGGTGTAAGGAAACCCATTCCATCTGTGCCTAGGAGAATTGTGCCTATTTTCAGTCATTTAGAGAAAATTTCGACTCATAAATTACTAATATGAAAGGTTTACTGATGTCACTTTAACATCAGCAGTGAGACCAAATGATGAAACATTGCTTTATACTTGAGTGCTTTCCTGTTCACTGCTACCTTAGTTATGCTGGATGACCGTTTTCCTCTCTCCTCTTGCCTAGTGAAGAGGCAGATTAAGAACCATCCCCAGATTTGACTGTAGAGGACTGGAAAATCCAGCGAGATAACCTGATTCTTTTGTACTGTGACTGAATAAAGCTGCCAAGGGTTATATTTAACTTGGAGCCTTTTCAAGGTTGGTTCCATTAGTGAGAGAAGGGGCTACCACATGATCACTGTACCCCTGAGAATCCATGAGATGGAAAATTAGAGGAAGAAGGTACTTATGCTGTTTGCAGCAGGGAAATAATCAAACCTCCACACCTATTTGGATGTGAAGCACTATTATTAATTTCAGTGGCAAAATGAAACTGCTAATTAGTCTAAAGGTAATGTTCAAAATGGTATTAAACTTCCTATAGCCTGCTAGATCCTGTATAATAAAAGCCTAATATGCTAAGCATCCAGTTGACCTGTTGGCCATTCAACCAATCAAAGCGTAATATGCTAATGATATGCTAAGGCCGCTCAACCACTTGCTATGACATGCATTGACCACCAGGAGGCAGACAGTCAACCAGTCACTATGACGTGCACTGACCCCCAGGGGGCAGATGCTCCAACTGGTAGCTTAGCTTGCTGCTGGGGTCCAGCCAATAGGGACTGAATGAGACAGGCTGGACCTGCCCTGAAGCCCTCCTACGGTCCCTCCCCAGCCCAAATCATGCACCCGTGGGGTCCCTCGACCTGGCCTGCGCCCTCCCACAATCTGGGACCCCTTGGGATGTTGGAGAGCTGGTTTCGGTGCAATCCTGCAGGCCAGGCCGAGGGACCCCACTGGTGCACGAATTTGTGCACCGGGCCTCTAGTATAATATTTATCATTGTAACACGTGTTTCTGAGAGCTTTAACTACTTCCCTTTTTAATGAAATTATTTCAGTGATTGTGGCTACATTTAATTTGAGTTTGCTGATAATTGAATCTAAATCCAACAGGATACAGCAGCATTAATTCCAAAGGAGTCTTTATATATGGAGTTGGAGGTATGTGAATGCCCCATCATTAAATAGTTTTCATTCATTTATGTGCCACATTGAATTAGCAACATCTCTCAAAGTTTGTCAATTGGGAAAAAAGTGTTCAAACCTATTTTTCTTAAGTAAATCTGGTGATATCATTAATAATCTATGGTTGGTGGAAGGTCTTTTTTGTTTGTTGAAGATTTAAGCTCTCAAGAGTTTATTTTAAAGGAACATATACTTTGAGTAACAAATACTGGGCATGTTTAACTAACCTAGGTGAGAAAACTATGGTGCTGTTTAATTGTAAATAGATTGACATAAGATTGGACCAATACTTGATGTGTACAATTTTAGTATGTAGGATTTTGTGCTTTTTTAAAAAAAAAAGTTCAAATTTTCTCTTTGTCTTTGCCTTTTTTCTGTGTTTTTTTTTTTTATTGTTACTCTCTACAATAAGGGTAATTTGCCTCATTCTAATAAAACGTCTAAAAAGCTTTTCCTCTTTTTTAAAACTTCAACTCAATAAATAACTTCATTATCATCAGACTTAGAATCTGCTATGCCAAACCATATGTGGTCATTTATAGATATGCTTTATCTTCAGCATTGAAATCTTGGTCTAAAATAGGTTGTTTTAAGAATCGTGCTGTAAGTCAAAACTCCTAATTCAGTTTTTCAGAAGCACTGAGCTCATTTCTTACCCATTTTGGACCAAATTTGCAGGTTTTGACTGTTAAATTTTTATTTAAAACTAGTGGCACGAATTCAATGTGAATTCGTGCACTTTGAAGGGAAATTGATTAGAAGAAATATTTTAATATTGCTATTTTCCTTTTCTCTATAATAGAAGTGTCAGAGATGAAAGAAAATTAGTACAATGTATATGAAAATAATATATAAATTGATTTAATAAATAAACAATAAAAACATAAAGACGTGACATAAAAACAACAAAAACATATAAAAACAACATTGATAAAAACAATGACTGATAAATTGATTAAACTTATTCTGATATCTCCCTGAATACCACATTAAGAGTAAAAACACTCGCCCTAACCGGTTTGGCTCAGTGGATAGAGCGTCGGCCTGCGGATTGAAAGGTCCCAGGTTCGATTCCGGTCAAGGGCATGTACCTTGGTTGTGGGCATATCCCCAGTAGGGGGTGTGCAGGAGGCAGCTGATCGATGTTTCTCTCTCATTGATGTTTCTAACTCTATCCCTCTCCCTCTCTGTAAAATGTCAATAAAATATTTTTTTTTAAAAAAGTAAAAACACTTAATACATTCTGTCGATGACACTGGCTTCTTTTTGCTTCATGGGTATATCATGCCAATAGTTGGTCTTCAGACATATTCTGTTGATGATGCTGCTTTCTTTCAGCTTTAGAATGTCAACAAAAACAACCAAATTCACAATCGACAATGACAGATCAAAACACACACGAGCAATTGGTGCCAGCAAGAGCTTTATATGTATCTTGCATGTGCGAGTCAACGTTTATTTTTAAATTGCCAGTGCGCGTCATATGTACTGGGTGGTTGGGCGGTCAGACGTACGTACAGTCAGTCAGCCTTTTATATATATAGATAGGTGACACATAGGCATGGGGGGGGGATCCAAACACCAAAGTGAGGAGTCTCTCTCCTGCCCCTCTTCTATTTATTCTCCCAGAGGTAACACCTGTTTCCAGTTTTCTGGGTATCTTTATTTATTTATTTATTTATTTTCTTTTTTTTTCTGGGTATCTTTAAAGATCCTCTAGCACTATGGTTCTCAAACTTGAGCATGCATCAGTATTACCTGGAAGGCTATTAAAACACAGATTGCTGGACTCTTTCCCCCAGACGCTCAAGTTAGTAGGTCTGAGTGGGGCCCAATAATTTGTATTTCTATAAGTTCCCAGGTGCTGCTGCTGGTCTGATGTATATGAGTATATTCATCCACCTTACCCTGTTTTCTTCCATAGATATATGTATGACTCGACACCTGTGATTTTGCTTTGAAATGGTGACTAGTAGGTTGTCCATATAAGTAGAGTTAGATTTGCTCCAATTCCTCTTACAGCTGCAATAGTGTTCCATTGTGGAGTACCATGGTGATGTCAGACAATTGATTCTGGTGAGTGTGGCTGTTTCCAGTCGTTTGCCACTGTGAACCGTCTGCCATGAAATGTCCGTTTCTACACTACATGTTTGTGACTGTGTACGTCTATTGAATATACTCCTGAAGAGGTTGAATTGCTAGATCGACGAGTATATATATATATATGGGGAGTAGATGCTGAACTGCCCCCCAAATAGATTTGACCGATTTAATATTATAGCAGCATGACTGCTCTTATTTCCCTGACCGATCTTTTGGTCTTCGACAATCTATGTCTTCTAGTTTTTAATTTGTGTTTTTTCTTTGGGTAAAGGTTAGCATTTTACTGTATATTTTAAGACCATTGGTATTTTTTCCTGTGAATTCTCTTTATGTTTGCCCATTTCCTAGTGCATTTTGGTCTTTACCCTCCTGATTTGCAAGAACTCTTTCTATATTAATGAAATTAGTCGTTTTCTATCACATTGTTTTTTCTTTTTATGTAATTTATTGTGTGCAAATTTTAAGTGTTTCATGGTCAGATCTATTAGTCTTATGTTTTATGACTTCTGGGTTTTCATAACTTCCAAAGATCTTACCTACTCTGAGATTTTAACAGTTTTATTCCCTTGTATTTATTTTATGGTTTTATTCTGGTGCAAGGAAGGAAGTAGCAACTCAGGTTTACTTTTTTCCAGCTTCCTACCCTACTTTTCCTGATACTACTTATTGAATAATTTTCATCTCTTTTTCCCATTGATGTTTAAAAATCACTATGACAGTGTTTTTGTTTTGTTTTTTTGTTTGTTTGTTTTTTGTTGTTTTTTTTCCTACCTAACAATGCTTTCTCCATTCATCTGCCTGCCCAGGCCCCAAACCCTCGGAGTCATTTTGACATTTCTTTCTCTTCTGTGAACCCCTATCTATGTGTGTCTTTTGTTTTTCACTATGACAGTTTTTAAGACTACTATTTCAGTAGTCTTTTCTTGTTGATTAGTAAATAAGTAAAATTAGTAATAGGACAAATTAGTAAATAATACCCGTGTCCACCTCCAACTCTCAAATGCTATGTTTTAGTATTTTTACTTATGGAAGAAGAGAAGCTAAGAGTGTGGCTGCTAACCTCCCTTGTTGTAGCCAGTCTCCCGTGATTTCTGTCCTCTGGCTCTGTCCGGGCTGTTCACAATGGTGACTACCCATCTCAGCAGATGTCAGCAATGTTGATTTGGCCTTTTCTAGTCCTTTGTTTTTGGCATGAGCCACCAGATAACACAGAAGAACTAAGGACTAATAGAAATGATTTCACTTTGCTTAATTAGCTACCTCTAAAATTCTTTCCTTTTTGTGGCTGGTCCTGGACTGAAACTGTAGTCATCTCCTCAGTCAAGCCTGCCATTCACCTGCCCCTGCAACTGCTGCCCCTTGCCACCCACTGCTCAGGCCCCTGAGCAGACTTGCTTTGTCGACCAAGGAATTCTTTTTTTTTTTTCTTTTTTTCATAACTCCCCTCCTCCCAGTTCCCGCCCCACCCTCCGCCCTCACTCCCCACCCACTGTCCTCATCCATAGGTGCACGATTTTTGTCCAGTTTCTTCCCGCATCTCCCATTCCCCTTTCCCCGCCAAGAATAGTCAGTCCATTCCCTTTCTATGTCCCTGATTCATTATAATCACCAGTTCATTCTGTAAATCAGATTATTTATTCACTTGATTCTTAGATTCACTTGTTGATAGATGCATGTTTGTTGTTCACAATTTGTATCTTTACCTTTTTCTTCTTCCTCTTCTTAAAGGATACCTTTCAGCATTTCGTATAATACTGGTTTAGTGGTGATGAACTCCTTTAGCTTTTCCTTATCTGTGAAGCTCTTTATCTGACCTTCAATTCTGAATGATAGCTTTGCTGGATAAAGTATTCTTGGTTGTAGGTTCTTGGTATTCAGCACTTTGAATATTTCTTGCCATTCCCTTCTGGCCTGCAAAGTTTCTGTTGAGAAATCAGCTGACAGTCGTATGGGTATTCCCTTGTAGGTAATTGAGTCTCTTTCTCTTGCTGCTTTTAAGATTCTCTCTTTGTCTTTTGCTCTTGGCATTTTAATTATGATGTGTCTTGGTGTGGTCCTCTTTGGATTCCTTTTGTTTGGGGTTCTCTGCGCTTCTTGGACCTGTAAGTCCATTTCTTTCACCAGGTGGGGGAAGTTTTCTGCCATTATTTCTTCAAATAGGTTTTCAATATCTTGCTGTCTCTCATCTTCTGGCACCCCTATTATTCTGATGTTGGTACGCTTGAAGCTGTCCCAGAGGCTCCTTACACTATCTTCATATTTTCGGATTCTTTTTTCATTTTGCTTTTCCGGTTGGGTGTTTTTTGCTTCTTCGCATTTCAAATCTTTGACTTGATTCTTGCGCTCCTCTGGTCTGCTATTGGGTGTCTGTATAATATTCTTTATTTCAGTCCGTGTATGCTTAATTTCTAGTTGGTTCTTTATCATAGCATCGAGGGTCTCATTAGTTTTCGTGACTCTCTCCTCAAGTTTATTGACAGCTTCTAGCACATTTTTGCAAGCCCTCAAAATTGCGATTTTTAGCTCTATATCCTCCATTTCTGTCATGTTTTTTTGTCTCCGCATTTTTTATGCTTTCTTGGTGCACCCTCTAGTGGTCTTTGTGCGCAGTCTTGTTCTAGTTGAGCCTTGATTGTTGTAGTTAATACTAGAGGGACCAGGCCAACAGGCCAACTGGCTGTGTGAATCAGCTGTGTCTGCCGAGGAAAACTTCTGTCCTCTGGGGAGGTGCTAATCGCCTGAGGCGATCAGCTGTGTCTGCCGCGGAAAACTTCTGTCCTCTGGGGAGGTGCTAATCTAGCCTTTGCCTGAGGCGATCTGGCAAATGGCTCTGCGCAGGGCTTGGGCGGGGCGGGCTCAACAGGGCGGGCGGAGGGAGCCGTTATGGTGCCCTCAGTCCTGTTCCCAGAGGCTCTGCTTCTCAGAACCCCCGGAACCGCTGCAAACCTCGGAGGGAAAGCTGCCTTCCAACTGATGCCAGACACTCCCGCTTCTCCCGTTTGGGTCCGAGTCCCCAGCGATTCGCCCGTATCTGGAGCTCAGAGTCTGAGACTCCCCCCTGACCGAAAACGACAACCGCGCTCTCAGCCACCAGCCCGCTTTGCGCGCGCACCTCCGCACCTGAGTTTTTTCCACACTGCGCCTCCTCTGAGCCTCGGTGTGCTGTTATTTTTCCTTCTAGTTGAAGAGTCTCTCCTCAGCCAGCCTTCCTGTGGTTCTGGGTGATGTCCGTTCCGTCTTTTAGTTGTATTTTTGAAGTGGTTGTTTGCGGCAGCAGTCTGCGGTGTTTACCTATGTCGCCATCTTGGTCTCTCGCATCCACTCTCGACCAAGGAATTCTAATGTAACTATGACATAGTCATAATACAGTGTTACTACCATCCAAAGCGTGTTAAAGGTACTTGGTCTAATAAGCTCTATCCTTAAAAGCACAGTGGGTTGACTCAATGTGAAAATAATGAAACTTAATTTTAAGTATACCTACAAATACATTTAAAAATTTTTTTTAGTTTTTTTTTTTTTTTAATAGGTTGATACTCCATGGTTGAGTGTTGCGGGCTCAATCCCCAGTGTGGGGTGTGCAGGAGGCAGCTGACCGATGATTCTCTCTCGTCATTGATGTTTCTCTCTCTCTCTCTCTCCCTTGCTCTCTGAAATTAAAAGAAAATATATCCTATATAATAAAAGCCTAATATGCTAAGTGTCTGGTCGTCCAGTCAGGCATTCAACTAGTTTAAGCGTAATATGCTAATGATATGCTAAGGCCACTCAACTGCTCGCTATGACATGTACTGACCACCAGAGGACAGATGCTCTGACCAGTGGGTTAGCTTGCTGCTGGGGTCTGGCCGATCGGGACTGAGTGAGACAGGCCGGACACGCCCTGGAGCCCTCCCGTGGCCCTTCCCTGGCTGGCCAACCTCCCGCGTCCCTCCCCGGCCCCCATTGTGCACCGGCGGGGTCCCTCGGCCTGGCCTGTGCCCTCTCACAATCCAGGACCCCTCGGGGGATGTCAGAGCTGGTTTCAGCCCAAGGGCAGAACAACTGGTCGCTATGATGTGCACTGACCACCAGGGGGCAGATGCTCAACACAGGAGTTGCCCCCTGGTGGTCAGTGCACTCCCACAGGGGGAGCACCGCTCAGTCAGAAGCTGGGCTCATGGCTGGCCAACACGGCGGTGGTGGTGGGAGCCTCTCCTGCCTCCGCGACAGCACTAAGGATGTCTGACTGCTGGCTTAGGCCCGCTCACCACAGGGAGCGGGCCTAAGCTGTCATTCGGACATCCCCCGAGGGCTCCTGGACTGTGAGAGGGCACAGGCCGAGCTGAGGGGAACCCCCCCCCTCCCGAGTGCAGAATTTCGATAAGCCCGCAACCCAGGCATGTGCCCCAACTGGGAATGGAGTTGTGACCTGGTTCAGTCGATGCTCAACTACTGAGCCACACCAGCCGGGCTACCCTAGCAGATGTGATTCATTTGCTTAAGCACCTGACTCAGAAAGTAATTCAGATTCTAGGAAGAACACAGCCCCAGTATCCTTAAAAGTCAGTTTCCCTTGTGGTTGGAGGCACTTCACCATTTGCCATTTTGAAGTGTTTCATCCAGGTAGTTTTAGCCTAAGGATTGGGAAACTAGAAAGGGTCTGGAGGTGTTGGACCACTAGGGACTAATACTGGGGAAGCACTGCCTTCTTTCAACTGCTCAGCCCCAGGAAGTGTTGGTAATTATTTGGATACACAGGGACCGAATGAACAGGGTTGATCTGAAAAGCAGCAGCAGAATTGGGACATGTGGATGGACAAAGAGAGTGGTTACTTCACATGACATTCTTGTACCGTATGTGAGGTCAATAGGTTATCAAAGTTAAGAACTTTCTGTTTGAGGAACACTCATTTGGACCCTTCATATATCAAAGTGAATGTGTAGACATACCACTTTGGTGTTCACATTTATTTTTAAACATGCTAACAGTTATAATTACTTATATTGTATTTTTAGATTAATTTATTTCAAGAAGTTTCTCTTTTGCCTTCCCCTTAACTTTCTGTGGCATATTCTTTTTCAAGCAGAGCCTTCTGTTCCTCCTTTTTCTCTACTTTCTGCTTCTCCTGGTATTTGTCCATGGTGAAGATAGTAAACAGCTTAAATTCCTTGTAATTCAGGTGCTTTTGTTGGGGGATAAAAAGAAAAATTATTTCAGGGAGGACTTGATACTTTGTTTCAGATGACAGCAGGATTGTAAGCATTTCTCATTTAAAAACTTGGAAACTTAAAGAGACTCAGTAATTAGGACAAAATTATCATCTGATTGTAGTCTAGGAGCCAGGAACATAGCGTCTATTGTAGACTCTAAAGCAGTGGTTCTCAACCTTCCTGATGCCGGACCCTTTAATACAGTTCCTCCTGTTGTGGTGACCCCCAATTTCATTGTTACAAATTGAACATAATTAAAGCATAGTGATTAATCACAAAAACAATATGTAATTATATATGTGTTTTTCGATGGTCTTAGGCGACCCCTGTGAAAGGGTCGTTCGACCCCCAAAGGGGTCGCGACCCACAGGTTGAGAACCGCTGCTCTAAAGGAACCTAGAGTCACTTTCTTTTACTTCAAGTCTAGATGCTTCAGGCTGGCATCTGAGGTTCAGATGTGATCCACCTTTCTCAGCCTCACCTCCTCCTTGCTTCCCCAACATGGACTTCCTCATTAAATAAGGCAGAATTCACAGTCTTCACCATAGTGGTCTCGTAGGATTTTGCTCCTGTGTTCCCATCACAGAATTTCTTCTTTCTACTTACTCAGCTCTTATGCCCTTCCCCAACACCAACTCCCGCCATATCCTATATAATAAAAGCCTAATATGCAAATCGACCGAACAGAGGAACGACTGGTGGAACGACTGGTTGCTATGACACGCACTGACAACCAGGAGGCAGCTCAACACAGGAGCTGCCCCCAGCCCACAGGCCCCAGGCCAGCCAAGGTGTGTGCCAGCAGAGGCCCCCCCCCCCCACATCGCCCCACCAGTTGCCTCCTGCAGAGGGAGGCATCTGGCAGCATGGCAATCGGGGGGCAGGGCCGGCGAGCAGGCGGCGCCAGACGGGCCAAGGCGGGTGCCAGCAGGGGGACCCAATCACCCCGCCAATTGCCCCACAGATTGGTCCTGATTGCCGGCCAGGCCTAGGGACCCTACCTGTGCACTGATTTCGTGCACCGGGCCTCTAGTTAATATATATCCTCCTCTAAGCTTCTGTAATTTTGTATCCATATTCTCGTATGTAGCACTTATTCAGTCCTCTCTCTTTCATGGGCCTATGAATCTCCAGTTTTTCTGATCCCAGTGCCATGGCATGCTGGAGCAGGTTTTATTTCTTTTCTTTTTTTTTTTTTCAACCCTCACCTGAGGATATTTTTTTCATTGATTTTCAGAGAGAGGGAAAGACAAGAGAGAAACACCGATGTGAGAGAAACACATTGGTTGCCTCCTGCATGCACACCGACCAGGTCCCTGGCCAGGGAGGAGCCTGCAACCGAGGTATATGCTCTTGACTGGAATCAAACCCAGGACCTTTCTGACCGCCGGCCGAGGTCCTATGGCCTGAGCCAAACCAGCTACGTCTGGAGCAGGTTTTCTCACCCCCCTCCTCACCTGTCTACTAGGTCAGGGGTCCTCAAACTTTTTAAACAGGGGGCCAGTTCACTGTCCCTCAGACCGTTGGAGGGCCGGACTATAGTTTAAAAAAAAAACTATGAACAAATTCCTATGCACACTGCACATATCTTATTTTGAAGTAAAAAAACAAAACGGGAACAAATACAATATTTGTATTTGCATGTGGCCCGCGGGCTGTAGTTTGAGGACCCCTGTACTAGGTAGTAGGACATTGCCCTCCACCTCAGGACAGGGAGGCTGCCAGGCCATCCCCGAGGGATCTGCACTTACACAGTCACCGGTGATGTCAAAGTTGCGGTAGAACTCTCGGAGCTCATGTTTTTTAATATTGAAGAGAAAGTCGTACTTTCGGAAGCTCTCCGCCCCGATTTTCATCTCCCCACCCAGGTCCAGCAGGTCAAAGACCTGCCGGGAATGGCGGAAGATAAATTGCTCTTCCAAGTGGTTCTGTTTGGAGAGAAATGGGTCCACCAAGAAACAGCATTGTTGGTGCTGCTTCCTAAACTTGCCACATCAAGACTCCTCTCTGCGCCTTAGTCCGTTCCCCAGAGAGCGAAAGGCAAAAGGGGGAATCACAGAAGCTCAGGGGCGAAAGGGTGCCGTGGTCAGTGCTACGGGTCCTGCTCCGGCATCTGTCCTCAAGGGGAACTGAGCCACCTGTAGTGATCACTCTGCTAGACCAGTGGCTCTCAACCTTCTGGCCCTTTAAATACAGTTCCTCATGTTGTAACCCAACCATAAAATTATTTTCGTTGCTACTTCATAACTGTCATGTTGCTACTGTTATGAATCGCCATGTAAATATCTGATATGCAGGATGGTCTTCGGCGACCCCTGTGAAAGGGTCGTTCGACCGCCAAAGGGGTCGCGACCCACAGGTTGAGAACCGCTGTGCTAGACAGACCCCTGGCCACTAGAACGCATGTCCTCACCTTGACTGCAAACCTACTTGTGAAGCGTCAGGACACTGGTGGTAACGAGTGGGAGGTAAACACACACCAGAAGTGTGTGCAGGTCAGGCGGGAACCCATCTCCACCACCCATCCCTCTGGGAACTTCTCCGAGAAGGGGGAGGTGGCAGGGGGAGAGGCTGGGTAGCAACTGGGGGTGTCTAGGTTATGGATGGACCACTTGGGAACCAGAACTAGTTCTTCCCTACATTTTTTTCCTTCCTGATTTGAGTGAAAGGGAAGAAAATGTTGGGTGTACTCTTAATTCAGGGCTACCTTTAGCAAGATGGTGGCAGCTGCCCCAGGGCCCGGCCCGATACTCGCCTCGTGTGCCAGTAGTAAGCACACCAGCACGTAGAACTGGTCAAAAGTGATCTCGCCCGCCGCTTCCCAGTCCAGTATGTGGAACACTTTCATGATCTGTTTCCGATTCCAGTTAGTCACATGGTGAAGGAAGTGGTAGAACATCATATCTGTTGGGTGGGGGGAAGATGAGGAGATGGATTATTCAGAAACAGCTCCAAAGGCTAACAAACTGGGAGCCGCCTCGATGGTACTGATGTTGGAAGCCTGTGACCTGGGAAAAGCAACCATTTTCGTGCAGGAGGCAGCCGATCAGTGATTCTCTCTCATCATTGATAGTTCCATCTCTCCCTTCCTCTCTGAAATATATATATTTTTTTTTAAAAAAAAAAATATATATATATATATTTTTTTTTTTAAAAAAAAATATATATATTTCAGAGAGGAAGGGAGAGATGGAACTATCAATGATGAGAGAGAATCACTGATCGGCTGCCTCCTGCACGCCCCCCAATTGGGATCGAGCCCACAACCCGGGCATGTGCCCTTGACCGGAATCAAACCCAGGACCCTTCAGTCTGCAGGCGGACGCTCTATCCACTGAGCCAAACCAGCTAGGGCTCAAAATCTTTTAAAAAAAACAAAACGTTTTATTGATTTCAGAGAGGAAGAGAGAGAAACATCAATGATGAGAGAGAATCACTTATTGGCTGCCTCCTGCACACCCCACCCTGGGGATGGAGCCCTCAACTTGGGCATGTGCCCTGACCAGGAATTGAACTGTGACCTGGTTCAGAGGTCAACACTCAACCACTGAGCAGGGCTAGCAATGATACTATTTTGTTTCTGGCTTTGCCACTGCACCTTCCACGATTTCTTAACCCTGAATTGCCCTTGAGCTGTGTGGAAAAGGATGCACCGGAGGCGGGAGAGCAGGGGCAGAGAGGACTTGGTTCCTGACCCAGCTCACACGCTCCGCGGGCGGACAGGTGTGTAGAGGTGACCAGTGAAGGGCGCGTGCTCCCCGTACATGGAAGGGAGAGCTGATGCTCACTGGGGACCCGGGACACTTCCATGGAGAAGCTGATCTTTCACTGGGCCTTTCATTGGAGGAGACGATTAAAACAGGAGAAATTTAAAAAATCATTCCCCTTCCATAAAAGCATCAATATGCCTTGTGCTTCTATGAAAGCGAGCGCATTTGGCTACGAGGGGAAGGCACCGCTGCTGGTGAAGCCGTTAGGGCTCAGCGTTGAAAGGCCACCTCTCCGGGAACGCACAGCCCTGCAGGGAGAGGGGCACCACACCCTCTCATAAGGAGCCTCAGAGAGGAACTGGTCTATGCAGCGCTGCTACGACGGTAGCAACACCAGTCACCAGAGGGTCTTGTGGAAGCACTGACTCTGATGCGGGAAACCCGGCGTGCCACCGGCGT